GTCAGCGACGCAGAGAAAAAAAAGTTCATTCTTCACGGTGATGCTGGATGCGACGCGATGACAATTGTTTTGGACGCGCTTAGGCGTGGAAAATCGATAGCTACCGAGAAATCAGCGGCGAATTGTAGAATTCAGAAAGTTGATGAATCTGAGAAACTCCGTCTCGGAAAAGTGTACACAAGCATGTTGACAATAAACTTTGTTTACTCGAAGATGACAAATTCACCTGAATTGCGTTGTGTACGGAACATAGACAGTGAGAGACACAGACCAGCAAGATTTTATTCACACACGCACATACACAAACAAAGAGAACTTAGGAAAAACATTATGGGGGAAACAACAAGTGTATCTTTCCGCAGACTAGAAATGAATCCAAAACAATTTATTCAACGGGACGTCTTCTTCCAGTGGTTTATCCGGTCTAAAACCAATAGCTCGTTGAAGAGTTCCATGATAGATGAAAGCCAGTGGGATAAACCATGCGTTTCCCAGTCCGACCACGCTGGAGAATTTGCTAGGAAAATCGACATCAGGCTTCGTTGAAACATTCACATTCAGCAACGAAGAATAAATTATTCGAGGTCCACCTGAGAACAGATGACCCGCGTTGTGTCTGTGGTACATTTTGCAATAGAGCGCTCGAAAAACCACTTAGCCAGCGGTGATTTACGTCTTGGTCGAAAAAAGCTGAATGGTAAGTGGTCCTACGAAGAAAAGGTTTAGCGTTCTCTACGAAACGAAACTAAGTTGAAGCCCGAGGTGATAAAAATGAATAAGAGGGAAAAAAAACCTCCGCCGAATCGAGAGCTCCAACTTAGGCGAACCTAATGACCCAGTAACTGCGCTTGAGGAGAATACAGAAGCGATTAATGCATAGTACACCGACGTTGCATAGAGCAGATGTTGAAATTACGACCCATTCTGAGTATGACCGATTCACTTCGATATGTGCTAGCAAAGCGGTTGTTCGGTGTCGGTGAGAGATTCAGCTGTTTTGCAAAACATAAGCCAAATCGCTCCGTCGGTAAACTGCTCGTTATAAGCAAAATTTACACCAAGTCATCGCGAAAATGGGACGGTCATATCAAGTTTTCGAATAGAGCATTCATTATTCGACGGCCAAATGGATTGATTACAATAATTTTCTCGAATAACAAGTAGACTGGGTGGTGTTTGGATTTCAAGAACCTGGACCTGATTTCCCGTTCCCACAGAGCATGTGAATAATGCACAGAAGTTTCCCTGGATGATGAAAGTAAGCTCGTAAAGGGTGGTACGATAGCAGAGATTCCATCGCATTCAGCGCTGGATATTGAAGAAGCAGTTAAAAGCGGAGAGAACATCAATTGTCCTAAATATGAAAGCCGTCTGACAACTGCCGTACAAAAGCGGCCGATTAATTATTATGCGATAGAACTGTGACACCAAATGTCTCTTATACAACCGACCCGGTCGTTGTCTTCACTTTCGCCCAACTACTTGTGAAACTGGTGGAAAAAACAATGTCCACCTCTGACAAACTGAACGTCATTTACAAATGTAAGTGTGTCTGCTCGACCATCTACACAAACAGATTGATGTAGCTGAATAGAAGTTCAAACTGTTGCAGTGTGGATAAGAAAACGATGGACAAAAGTTTCCAACAGCCACGTCAATGACAAGGCAGAGAACACTCAAATCTTCAAATACGCAACACGTGTGAAAAGAAACATTGCATCTATCCATCCAGTGCACATAGTTCAAGTGATTTACAACACAACAAGCGCTACATGAGAACGATACTAAGCTAGCCTTTATTCTTATGGACAGTCAATCGAGGATTTTGTCTCATTTGAAGCACTAAATTCAAGAAGTATGCCGAAGCTCTAGGAATTCACAATCACTAACTCGATCTATGCTGTGTGAATGGCCAGTTACATCAGCTTGGTCTTGGTGATTGAACTCCGTTTCTTCTGNGTCTTGGTGATTGAACTCCGTTTCTTCTGACTACCCTCCGTTTTAGGCGTCGTATTTTTTGGAGCGGGGGAGAGGTTACCCACTGAAATCTTGATTTTGTCTGTCATTGTGATTATTTCACGGAATGATTGCAGTATACACGTGCATGGATGAAGTAATATTATTCAGCATATTTTGTTTGTGAGTTCTCCATTCAAACAAAATTTCAATGAAACATTCCCTTGGTTTATCAATGTAATTATTCTTGCTGCAATTCGGATGCCTCCCTGAAGCTTGTCAGTCTCTTCTTTCACTTTCTAACTAACGGCATCACTTAGATCGAGAGTGAAACAGGGAAAATTGCTTACATTTGTTTCTATTTCGTATGTTACCGTGGCTGTAGTGAAACGGGTGGAAAGAATAGCACACCTGCTCTCCTCCGGTCACCCACACAACACCACA